AATGAATTCTACAGAATTCGTGACAATTTACAATCTTTCGAATTGTTTGAATATGAAAAAGAAATTCCACATCGATTTTGAAGACTGAGCAAGCTTTTGCTGCATGTTCGGGATGCTTCATTTGACAAAACAGCATGAAATGGTGTTATTGTCTTGAAGTTACACATTTTCTCCCTAACTGAGTTGATTGCCAAACATTTTAAAAGTAATGACTTGATGTTCTCAATCTTCAGATGTGAGATGTTTTTCTCTTTGCAAGTTAAAACAAGATCAAGAATCAAAAGTAAAACTAGAAGAGAAAATGCTTATACTCCTACCCGAAAACAAGTTAAAGGCAATTTGTCAATATTGGTGCTATTGTGTGACATGTGATAGTTTCTGAAGGTATCTTTGAGTAACTTGGCATAGACAACAATCTCCATGAATGTAGGCTCTCTCATCACATCAAAAAAGAAACGATAGATTTTAGTTCGCTGTTGCTGCCAAGATAATTTTCCATCTCATTTGATATAATGTCAAAAATAGAAGTTAGGTTTACGTTCTCATTATTTATGTGAGTATCCCTCATTCTGAAAATGTAGTTGAACATGACTTTGAAAGCTTCCACTGGCGCTTTATCTACAATAGGTCTATCCACACAAAAAATCTGTAGTCAATCGCTGCCAGATTTTTTCGTAACTTCTCAAGTAATCCTAAACTTTCTTTTTGAAAAACATGCATGATAAGGCCAAATTTTTAACTCAAAAACGTTTAGTCTCTTGAAAATATTAAAAAGCATAATTATCTGAATCAAAGATCTTGAGAAAAATTGTTCGTGTAGAAAGATCGAATTCCCAGCATCTGCATCTGATCTGCAAAAAGGGTCTTTCTGGGTAACTGCTCAAGAAAGGGTTTTGACAGACGTTTTATGTTGCTATTACAATCATACCACTCCCTCAAATCAATGGTTATATCATATAACTTCATTTACCAGATTTTCAACTTTGTCCAGTCTGTGATAAGTTAAAAGGAGCATAATGTTTTCTCTGTCTATCGAATCACCCGTCCCTCTAGCTACTTTCCTTGTTAAAGATTTTAAATTTTCGCTATAATATTGTTATGCTAATTATGTTTATAACATTGTTACGTTTGAGAAGGGGGTTCAACATGACATATGTGAGTGGAAGTAGTTTTCTTGGTACATAAAAAGCATTAAAAAGTATTCTGGAACAAAAATACCATACCAGTAGGCATAAGTAGCACTGATAATGTGATATTGCAAAGTCTTATCAGGAAATATTTTTTTTTCGATGTGTATTGTTCCTTTGCCTGAATATAGAACAAAATCACAAAAACTGAGATCAGTTACCAATAGCTGAAGCTGTACTTTATAGTAGTACTTGTGCTCTTGTTTGAGTTTTAAACTACCATCATCATGTATCAGAAAGTACTGTCTTTGAATAAGTTTCTTTGGAATTGTTCCTTTACTTATGTCAGACAGTAAATCCTCCACATTTCTGCTTCTAAATATTTTCAAGGACTTGATTTCTACAATGCCTACTTCTTTACCATCTCCAATGATGATGCCATCTGGGCTAGCACCAAGATGAGATTATTTTTTGTTCACCCAGAATCCTGTCGAAATAAGCATGCCTTGCTATAAGTTCCATTTCAATGCCATACTTCATGTCACTAGTTAAGACTCTCTCTTGAAACCAAAAATCATTGTATAAAAAGTTGTAGAGCTTGAGTTTTGATGAGTGTTCTGAAGCAACATCTTCTCCTAAAACAGTCACTAACTTGCACTCCGATGCAGTAATTCTGGGCCAGCGCTCCAAAAACCATTTTTCAGATTTACTTTGTTCCTCTGTGCCTGGGACACGGCATGAACTTCTTGCTGTATAAAGGCTATCACAACTATCTTGTTTTCCTTGGACAAATTGATCAACCTGGGCTTTATAAATAGAAAAGTCATTTTTGCCAAGCTCAAAATCCTCAATGTGAAGGATTGTTTCCCACATTGACAATTCTTGTTTTGCTGCACTGATGGTTTGCGAATCCTTTACAAATGTTGCCTTTAATGTATCATCAGTTTTTCTGTATTTCACTGGCCTAAGATCCTGGAAATACGTTTCCACCTTCTCTTTCGGAGAATTGTAAATGTCTTTGTGCAGCTCTATTGGGTTCTTGTTCCTTCTTTTTCCTTTATTCCAATTACATGACAAATATGTTTTTGGTACTTCAACATGGTAAGTATTCTTTGTTATATAATCATTAAGAAACAGCAGTAAGGCTGCAACATGGGCACACCTCCCTAATGACTTTGCAACACAAGTACAGTAGGCTGACTTAACAAATCCACTTGACTTGCTCAAGGCAATCTGTGTACTCAATGGCAGCTCTTTCTTCATTGAATGATGAATGTGTGCTCGCAGTGCATAGCTGTCATAACCTTCATTGTCTTGAACATCTTCTAAAAATTTGCTTTTTACCAGGTTACTTCCTTTTTTCAATGGTTTTGCTGTTGCAACTTGGAATTCTTCTTTTTCTCCATAATCTGAATCACTGCTAGTATCATTCCCAAAAGCGCCAGCAACCATAGGAACAGACTCAATCAGATAATAATAAATGTATCCTCTTTACTTGGCTTCATAGGTGCATCTGCAGCTCCAATTTTGTTAGCTTTTGCTTCGTACCATTTACCGCCCTCAATCTTGGGATCAATCTTCATCTTGATTTTCAGACAATCTTTGACTCTTTCGATTAGGACTTTCTTTGTGCCACTCTCCTTTGCTCCACGACACTCCAGCCATCTTTTCAGCTCCGTTACACTGCACTCTGATGGCTTCTTTAACAGTTTTGTGCCTGGCACATCATCCTTGTTTAAAAAAACAACTTCAGTTGCCGCCATCATCGATTTAATAACTTCGTTCTCGGAGAGCATAAATTTTTTCATTGTGTTCACTTGCGAAGGCCTGTCCGCATTCTCTTCTCATCGTGCATTGCGTGCAAAATCATGACATAAACGGGGCGGAGCCCTATTGAACATGGTTGGCCATTCTCTTCTCTGAATAACCCTCTTAGTAAAATCACGAAATTTTCAATGATAGTGACTGGAATCATTTCTCTTGAAAATGCAGTCTTCCTTCTGGCAGTGCCTTCCATTTGAATTACTTTTTGAGGAAAATATATAACAGTCCTGCAGTCAAAACCCCACCATGACAATCTCATAGATGCTATACCGAACATTTCAACTTGATAACCTGACCTTAGTGAATTGGCCTAAGAGGAAGCAAGTACCAACTTTCAAGCATGCTGCAGCGGCAAACACTGTGTGATGTTTCCTCACTCCTAAATGTCAACCACTTTGTCTAAACCTTTGCCAGCAATCCAATCACGACCTTCCAGGACCTTCCAAGACACAAAATGATTAAACTACACCGCAGGCTAAGAAGAACTAAAAGTATTTGTGACACCTTCAGTTTCATCATAGCGAGTGACTTTTCTAGAATAGATCATCCAAACTGCACAGACAGAAGGGGATCGTTTCTTGTATCGCCAGCAAGTACTGGTTTCCATAACTAGGGGAACACATTATTCATGCTCCAGTGCTACCACCCCAGAAGAAGAATCTTTTGTCCTTTCCAAAGAACAAGACTCGCCCACTGCTTCCAAACCTCCAGCTGGTTGCCATGCTTTTCTCCGGAAATCCTTGGAAGGTAAGGGCTTCCAACAAAAATTGAAAACATCATCCTCAAGTCATGGAGACCAACAAAAATGCAAAAAATGACTCAATACTTAAATGGTGGGAACTTTTTGTCCTCAAAAATATGAAAATATTAATGTACCAACTTTGAGCCTGATGCTTGAATTTTTAATGCATCCTTATGAACAGGGATTTCAATATAGTGGAATTTGTTCGGCTAGATCAGCCTTACCTCCAGCGTACACTCTTCGAGCACATATTAGCAGAGCACTCATTAAACTCGAGATTTGTAAAGGGCATATATAATTGCACCCACGTACAGCCAAATATCCCAACATATGGGACATAATATGCACAGTGTTGGACAACTATGCAAAAAGCAGACAAAATAAGAAGCTTACACTTGAAGAGTTGACAATGAAATTTGTAATGCTGTTAATGATTCTTGGGAACAAGTCTTGTGGGCAGAAGGAAACAAGCCATAGTGGCTATGAAAATTGAGAATGTTAAAATCACTGAAGATAAACTCCTTCTGCTTCCCAACAAAACATTGAAACATTCAAAACCAGGCAAACCACTAGAATGCATATCTTACAAAAGGTTTATGGGAAATACTATTACGGTAAACGTTTTGAACATGAAAATTGGTTTTTCCTTCCTAAAGGCCAAACAGCTCAAGGAATCTGGGTAAACTATATATCATTCGATGCACAAGATTATGGCGTATCTAGCCAGATAAAAATTATTGGCAAATAATGTTAAATGTTATTTTACATGCTAATTTACTGGTCAAAAAGTGTACCACCTTCAAAAGCTATTATGTACCCTTGCGTTTGAGGTAACAAAATCTGACTTAGACCAGCAGGAAGTGCAGGTCCTAAGCGACTGCCCTGACTGTGTGCAAATTTTCGAGCCATTCGATTGGTTCCTTGGGTACATAATAGCTTTTTCGTACCTGCATGTAGAGAAATTTCGAGTCCGGGGAAAACGGGATTTTAATGATTGCACTTGCAAGATACATATTCGGGATCATGTTACCCACAATGTAATCCAGGTCAAGTAGTTTAAGCTTTAAGATCAATTAGCGCCTACAAATAAACACAATGATTCATGGATGTGCCACACTCTCACGCAAACTTCAAGAACCAGAACAACCAAAATGGCACAGTCGAAGGCGCAACCCGAAATGGAAATCATGCTCGAGCAAATGAGGAGGCATGGGTAAGAGAGTTTTCTTTTTTTAATGAGATAACGCTGGATTTTTCTTTTCAAAAGCTTCTTATATATTTCTTAAGATAATATATAACAAAAAGCTACAGAACAAGGGTATGGAACACCTTTGAAAGAAATTCAGTATTTTGATAATTGCAACAAAAATAAACATCAGATGATTTCTTGAAATTATCTGTTAGTATTTTAGAACTTTCTCTTATAACCCTTTGTGAAAACAAACTCCGTTTTCCCACATCAAATTTTGTTTCTTTCTACAAGTTCAATGGAAAGGAATTTGCAAAGAATTTGGTAAAGAGCATTAGCGATAAAAAGAAACGGGGGAAGACGCCCCGGCAAAATCGCTATTTTCACTACTGCTGCATTAAAGGTTATCAGTTTTAAAGTTAGTTTTTCAAGTCTAGTCAATGACCCTATTGGTAAAAATCATAATGTCAAATGGGGCATCTCATCAACAAAAACATTTTAACTCAATAAGTTGCTCAATGAGAAAAACAATCAATGAATTTTACCGCATTTCAATAAGATTGCATAGTCTCTCTAGATGCTAAAAAATGTTCAAAGGACAATGTACTGCTTATAAGGGTTCCTGAATTTCCTCACTTGACCCTCAACTCTATTTGCTAAGAGTGTAATTTAGGAGAAAGAGGTGCGATGAGAAGTCACTTGACCGCTTTACTGTTAGGCCACGCCACGCCTACATCGAGATGAAGTCGGCTGGTGCTCGTGCAGGCGCACGTCAGAATCAAAATGCTGAAGCTTATCAGGCGTATTTTGATGAAAAGTTTGCTGAATTAAAGAAAGAAATGGCAACAAAGAAATGCATTGATCATTTACATGCAACTATAAAGAAACAGAATGACAAAATCGAAATGTTAGAGTCAAAAATCGTGATGATGGAACGGCATATTGCTCAACTTCAAAATAATCTGGATGATAATGAGCAGTACAACCGACGATTGTGTCTCAGAATCAACGGCTTACTTCCAGTGGCTGAAGGAGAAAGTGAAACAAGTGAAATGTGCTTAGAGAAGGTGAAGAATGTATTCAAAGAAAAAGAATTAGAGGTCGATGTCCCTGATGCAGTGATAGACCGTGCACATAGGATTGGCTCACCAAAGATCGTCAAAGGAAAGAAAATACATCAGGTCATTGTGCGTTTTACAACATGGCGACATAGAACTTTGGTATATCGAGCAAGGAAAAAATGCCCCAAATACAGGATAAAGCTGGACCTAACCAAGCGTAGAATAGACATAATCCAGAAGGTAACGTCTTTCCTCAAGGAAAAGGAATTGGGTTTTGCATTTGCAGATGTAAATTGTCGATTGAGTGTCAAGATTGGAGACGTATTTGAGCATTTTAACAGTGAAGAGGACTTGATGGACATAGTTCGAAGATATGATGAGAAAAGTGAACCTGAGAGCCATCCTAAACAGAGCAATGATGCCACTGCAGATAATGATTTTACGGGTGATGATGCTGCTGCAGAAACTACTGCAGTCTCAGAGTCGTAAGGACCTCTTACATTAACCCATATATCTGTCATCTTTTGTCGTTTTTCTGCATAAACCGTTATGCATCGAATAACCCTTATCTCCGTATGGTCGCAATCCGGTATTAAAAGCAACCTCATCTATTATATAAAATTTGTAGATATTCTGCTTTACTGTAGGCAATTTTATCCATTTTGTTGTTCCCTTTTTTAATGAGGTGAGTTTGTAAAATCCGGACGACTGACAGAAGTATTGCTCTTTTGTAGTTAAGGTTTTCCCCTCGGTGGGTTTTAAGGGTGGGTGATGATTTGGACAAAAACCCTTTTCGATGCTTGAGTTTCGCCCGCTCGGGAGATTCCCATGAGTTAAAATCAGACTTGGGGTGGCTCTGCTTTCTGCTCTGGTGCGCGGTTTTTGCGGGTCGGCGTCTCGCTGTTCGCTGAGGCAGAGGGCGGAGTCACCTAAACTTAGGTTTCTTGAATTAGTTCGGGTCCGTCGCCCTGATCCACCGCTGCAGGTAACTATTTTTAACTACAGTGCGTTTGAAGAAATTCCCAGCCATGAAACTAGAGCTGTCTTTCTTGACTTGTCGAAGGCATTTGATAGGGTCTGGCATGAGGGTCTACTATACAAATTGCAATGCAGTGGCATAGATGGAAACCTTATCTCGTTGATTCGGAATTATTTGGCAAATCGAAAACAGCGTGCAGTGCTGAATGGCAAAAGCTCACAATGGACATCAATATCTGCAGGAGTGCCACAAGGCTCAGTATTAGGACCCTTGTTTTTTTCTAGTGTACATAAATGACCTTGTTGATAATGTTCACTGCGATGTGAGAATGTTTGCGGATGACACATCTCTTTTTTCTGTTGTAAACGAAGTCAATAGAACTGCAGAGGACTTAAATAGGGACCTTGAGACGGTACGTTTGTGGGCATGGAAATGGAAAATGCAGTTCAATGCGGATAAAACTGAAGAAATTATCTTTTCTTGCAAGAGACGTAAGCCCTTCCATCCTCCCCTGTCTTTGGGATCCAACGAGATAAATACAAAATCTGAGCACAAACACCTGGGTCTAACTCTTGACTCTAAATTAAATTTTGAAAGCCATATTCGAGAAGCTAGTTTAAAAGCAAGAAGGGGTATCGGTAT